CTTTTGTTATATATGCTATGCCCATTTTTAATGGTGGAAAAATATCAAGTAGTATTTTTAGCCAATATCAAGAATTTTAAGATATTTTTAAAAAGAAGAATGCATATATTCTTCCAAAACAATGATCTTATGATTGTTCAATTGATTTGCAAGAAAGAGCTAAACTACCATTTGGACCAATTTTTAACTTATTGTAGGATGAATTGGCTACATTAAAGGGATATATTGATGAAAAATTAGCAAAGAACTTCATACGCCATTTTAAAACTCCAACCGGGGTTGCTATCTTATTTGTGAAGAAGAAAGACAAATCTCTAAAGATATATGTAGATTATTGAGGACTTAATAAGATCACCATCAAAAATAGGTATCCTTTGCTTTTGATTTTAGGACTTCTTTACTAACTCAATCAAGCAAATATCTATACCAAAATAGATCTATGAGGAGCATACAACTTAGTTTGTATCAAAAAAAGAGGTGAATGGAAGATTGCTTTTCAAACGAGGTATAGAATTTTGAATATAATGTTATACCTTTTGGACTCACAAATTTATTAGCCACTTTCAACATCTTATGAATGATGTTCTTTGAGAGTTTCTAGATGATTTTGTCATTTGCTATTTAATTGACATTCTAATCTATTCTAAGAATACAGACAAACATGAACTTCATGTTCGTTGCATATTACAGAAATTTAGAAATACAAGATTATATGCCAAGTTGAAAAAGTGTATATTCTATACTACTCAAGTTGATTTTTTAGCATACATCATTTTCAACGAAGGCCTTAAGATGGAGCCTAAGAAGGTCCAAACTATCATAGATTGAAAGATTCTAAAAACAATATGAGATGTGCAATGTTTTTTGGGCTTTGCTAATTACTATTGAATCTTCATCAACTTTTTTCAAGTTGCAGCTTCACTTATATGTTTGATTTGTAAAGATAAATTTCAATAGAATAAAGAAGTACAAATATCATTTGATACTTTAAAGAAGGAATTTACTTTTGCATCAATCTTATATTGTGTCGACTTTTCTATGGCATTTTTTATGGAAAGAGATGCATCAAACTTTGCTATGGATATTATATTGTCACAAATAGAAACAAATAACAAATTCTACTTAGTAGCTTTTTATTCCAAGAAATTTTTAGCAACCAAGATTAATTATGAAATCCATAACAAAGAACTTCTTGTAATCATTGATTCATTTTAAGAATGGAATCATTATCTAAAAGGTACTTCAAATCCAATCATTGTATATACGGATCATAAGAACCTTAAGTACTTTATGTCATCATATATTTTGAATCATCATCAAGCCTGTTGGAACATGTCTTTATCTAGATTCAATTTCAAGTTTACTTATTGATCTAAAAAACAACAAAGTCTATCAGATGCCCTTTGTAGGCATTCTTATCTTGCACCAAAAGAAGAAAATGCATCTTTTGATCAAAAAATAATGATTTTTTTGAAGCATGAGTCTTTTTATCTTCAAGCAATAAAATCAACATTGATTGTTGATTCAATCTTTGTGAAGTAAATTCAATCAAATATGTCTTCTAATCCTCTTGTTCATGATATCAAGTCTAAGTCTTATAGCACTTCAAAGTTTGAGTTTAAAAATAATCTACTATATTTTGAAGTTCGCATATATATTTTAAAAGACAAGGCTTGATTACGTGTCCTTCAAACTTGTCATGATTTTCTAGCAATCGGACATTTTGGATACAATAAGACTTTGGAACTAATATCAAAAGATTTTTGGTAGCCTCAAATGTAGAAGATAGTCAAAGTTTTTGTACAATCATACGATACTTATTCAAGATCTAAAACTCCTCACCATTGACCTTATCGACTTCTTCAGTCGTTACTAATTCTTAAATAACCATGATCTTTTGTTTCTATGGATTTTATTACAAATCTTCTAATTTCAAGTTCATATGACTCTATATTTGTAATCGTAGATTGCTTCACCAAAATGGCACATTTTGTACTATATATAAAATCTATTTCAGGTGAAGAAACAACTAGGCTTTTTATTGATAATATCTATCTCTATCATGGATTGCCAAAGGATATTATATCGGATAGGGAGACTTAATTTGTATCAAGATTTTGGAGAACCCTATTCAAGATTTTAAATGTGGATATAAAGCTCTCTTTAGTTTTTCATCCTCAAACTGATGAACAAACAGAACGAGTGAATTAAGTTTTGGAACGGTATTTGAGATGTATCATCAATTAACATGAAGATGATTGGACAACTCTTTTGCCATTGGCAGAGTTTGTATCCAATAATTCCGTGCATTCTTCTACTCAACAAACACCTTTCTTTGCCAATTATGGTTTTCATCTATAATTTGATACTTTTGACTTTTCAAAAGTTGATAATCCTACTATGGAAGATTTAACAAATTGTTTGTTAGAGCTACATACAACTATGAAGACACAATTAAAGAAAGCTCAAGAATGACAAAAGACCAATATGGATGCCTATTGCAAGGAACAACCACAATTCAATATAGGTGACAAGGTATGGTTACTTTGTCGTAATATCAAGACTACTTGTCCTTGTAATAAGTTGGACTATTGTAAGTTGAGACTTTTCTCTATTTGTGAACAAATCAATCCTATTGCTTATTAATTATATCTATCGAAGTCTATGAAGATCCACCTTATATTTTATATGTCCCTTTTTGAGCCATATAAGATAGTGAATATCTCGAAAAGAAGACAAATGCCACATTTTCCTATAGAAGTGGATAATAATCAAGAATTCGAAGTAGAAGAAGTCTTAGATTCTAGACATCACTAAAATAGATTAGAATATCTTCTTCATTGAGATGGATATGATATTAGCAAACGCACATGGGAGTCAGCATAGAATCTTGTAAATGCAACAAAGAAGGTTGAGGCTTTTTATCAAAAACATCCATCAAAACTAAGATAAAGAATTGCAAAGATCCATGAAAGATGATGACCGCTCCTCGTGAAACTATTCCTAAAAGGGAAGATAATATTACAGATATATATATATATATATATATATATATATATATATATATATTTACTTCAATATTTATTTATATGATTAGGTAGAAGTAGATAAATATAGATTAATTTCATAACATCTTCTAGAAAAGCTTCCTAAAAGCTTCATAAATACGGTTTTGACTTTAGATGTATTTGTAGGATAGAAACTTGGCCAATAAGTTAACCACGTATTGGTAGCTTATGGAACAAGTTAATTCCATTTAATAGCTTGTAAAATAAGCTAGTTATGTGGCATATACATAGATAACTTATCTTGCAAGTTAAGACATGTAGCTAGCAAAGTCAATACGTTTTGGAGGTCCTATATGACATTGCCACATAGTTCTTAGTTAAGAGTATATATAGAGGCAAGAGTGAAGCCTTTTTCACTCTTATCAAAGCATTTTTAGTCCTTAGTCTTGTTTCAAGACTTTCTAATCTTCTTGAGTTTGGCAGTAGCCATTCTAGTTTAATATTACTTCACCTTTTGAATGACTTTCTAATTCTCTTCAGTGACACAAGAGTGTATTGAAGATTTTCTTTCTTTGAGATTCATGTCTTTGATACATATCTAAATTATTTCACAAGCTATTAATACGTAGAATATGTAGTTAACTTGTTGACCAAGTTTCTAACCTACCAATCAATTATAAATACATATAAAGTCAAAACTATGTTTATGAAGCTTTTAAGAAGTTTTTTTTAAAAGATATTATAAAAATTAATCTACTTTTACCTATTTCTATTTAAGTACAAGAATTTTAGTTTGAAGATAGATAGTCTACAACCTTAAAAAATACAAAAAAAGAAATAAAATAATCCATTTACTTTTAATTAAAACAAGAACAATGAATTCTACTCGTGTCAAACTATCAAGGATGTAAACTTCAAAGAAGCAAAAGATTAATACACTCTTAAGTCACTCAAAAGGACTAAATAATTACTCAAAGATGATATAATATTAGTATAAAATACCTATTATCAAAAATAAAAAGACTAGAAGGACTTAAAATAAGATTAAGAAGTAAAAAGGCTTTAATAAGAGTGAAGAAGGCTTCATTCTTACTTCTATATAGATTATCTAACTAAGAACTATGTCTCAACATTTTATAAGACCTCTGACATGTGTCTTAACTTGCAAGACAAGTTTCTTATATGTGCGCCACATAATTAGCTTGTAATACAAGCTACCAACATGTATGACATATGGCTAACTTATTAGCCAAGTATTCAACCTATCAATCACTTGTAGATACGTTTAAAGGTGAAACCACATCTAAGAGGCTTTTCTACAAGTTATTATCAAATTAACTTATTTTTTCTTTCTTCTACCTAATTATATTATTTAAATAATTATTAGAGTAGATAAGTATGTCCTTGACACATACTTGGTTTATTTCTTGTTATGATAAACTTCACTAAAATTTATAAAGCTTTAATAAAAATCCATAATATAATTTAAAGTTCTAGTCTAAACTTGGATGCAATAAAATGAAGCTTTAGTCTACACTTGGTCACAATAAACTAAAGCTCAAATTAAACTTGGTGTCATGAAGTTCTAATCTAAATCTAATCACAATAAATTAAAATTTTAGTCTAAATCTCAATGCTCAAACCACAAATAAAATGTCCACATAATAAGCTATTAAAGAAATTCTTTATCTTGTTGAGGCAATTGAACCCTCCAAAGTAGAGCCTATTCCAAGGCCAGGACATCTAATGCTATTGTTGGCACCAACAGTCGCAATGCCCTTAATCTAATGGAAGAGTGGCTAGGTGTCATTGCAATCCTGAACGTAATGGATGAACTATTAGTTGGATGACAACGTTTGGATGGATGTATACGTCAACAGGTGGTGGGTCACTATGTGGCAACATCACAACATTCTCTCCAAATTCCTAGAATTCAGTCGAAAACGACTCATGCAAACCATCGAGGCTCCAAATGATGATAGACGAATTGCGCACCGTGCATTAAGCTCTGATTCCGTGATCGAAGATTCAATGTCGTAGCAATTAGCAGGGGGTCTGAAACCCTAACCTCCTGTCAAACAGAGATAATCAAAAGGAGGAATGGAGTAACAGTGAGAGGGGACATCGGACGAGGAAGATGGTGCTGGCACGTTACCGGAACAAAGCCACGCGTGAAACTCACGAGCTCTGCTTTTGAATGTTGCAAATCCAATGGGTTTGAACCACTGCAGAGCTTTTTCATTCAATTTAATGCTGGTCCTACATTCATGATGTCACAGGAGCCACCTAAGCTGCTATCTTGCTTGCGCCTTTTCCGCACCTTTGTTCTCTGGATGGAATTGGCTTGAGAGATTTGCGACATGTATCGTAGCAGCACGTCGGTTTGAATTTTTATGAGAATGTGATAGAGGTGGGTGTGTGAAGAATGGAGGATAGGGAGGGCATGCTGCGGCTGCGGAGGCACAATCGGCGATTACTGCCGCAGCACGGGAGGGAGGCAGTGAAGGATGATGTGGGAAGAGAGAACGTGGAGCTTGCAAGGAGGACTTGTTGTGAGCAGTTGACGTTTTTGGATGGTCGTCGGAAATATGTGTGTGCTTCCTTTGGCGGTCTGGGTCATGAGGCGTCGCTATTGCGGACGGGTAAAAACAGGGAGTATGGGTCTTTGCGAGCTGGGAAGCGGGAAGGGGTTACAGTCTTGCGGCAGCTGTTGGAAGTATTTACGAAGAATGATAGGACGAATGGACGAGAGGGCAGGAGAGACGGGGATTGTGGGGGAGTATCTTTGGTTGTTGGGTGCTTGACTACAATTGTCAAAATCGCAGCGCTTCTGCTTTCCAGGTCGTTGTGTGAAGGCGCATGGCCGGCTCTTCAGGCGCTCAGCATTTGTACGCTGCCTTTCGGTGCTCTCAAGCAGTTGGTAAGATAGTGGATTCAAGAAAGTTGTAATTAGGTCAATGGAGGTCACTATGATTGTAAATAGTGATAGGATTTTTGTAATTTTAATTGGATTCTCTTTTTCCCCTTTGGAGGAATCTGTGTTTACGGGGTTGTTTGAATTTTGAGCTGCTCCTGATTTCATCTAGGATATGAAGCGATGTTATGAGGTTTTTATTTTCAGACACATTTTTAAGAGCGATTCGTCATCTCTACTCTTGGATACTCAGACGCTTCCAATGCCGGCGAGGAGAGTTATGGAGTCTATAGCAAGGCCAGTGTTGGGGATAACTGTATCTCAGCCAATTGTGCGGTTGTGTTTGCCCAATGTCTATCGCACTCTGAAGTTCTGGAAACGTCTTTTGCCGATATATTTCCGGTATTAACCCTCTCCTTCTCTGTTTAATGGGCGAAATTCTCAATGGGTCACATGCTGCAAATTCAAATCCCATGAACATGTCTTGCATTATCACTTGAGGAACTATAACTGAGTGGGTCGCATAGTTTAGATGATGATGTTAATAATGCGTTTAGGACACTTGTCAGATTATGTTATTTCTTAGCTCGTTCCCTTAAAATGAAGAGAAGGGTAAGGTGCCCAGCGAAGTCAAGCTGCTGATTTATTTACTTCTTTAGAAGCAAGAGAACATTTATGTGCAGCCCATAGGGCTGTTATTTGTCAGGTACATCAAGACTAAGAGGCAAGTGAGGAACATGACTTCAGCAGAGCGGGACAAAGTGTGGGCTGTGCGCCACGAGTGGGGTGGTGAGAAAGTACACAGTCTGGTTCTAGACATGAGTGGATTCTACGTCAAATCTGCACAAATTTTAGCCACTAAAGCTGTAAGTAATCCTATCCGTGTGGTCTATAGTGTATGGTTCATACGGTGGTTCGCTTGGCCTTCTTAAAAGTCGGTGGTAGTGTTTTGAACGTCCGAATCAATGATTTCAGAATCACGTGTAAGTGTAATGAAATTTACGTTGGATGAGCAGGACTTTGTACCAGAGCCTTGGACCCGGCGCTTGTCTAACCATCTAGACAATGCCCCACCTCGTCCTTTTGATGAAGTTGAACGCAGCATCATGCAGCAGCTTGCTACTTGTCCTGTCAGCAAATCTTTGACTCACGACGCAGGAGGGTCAGTACCGCTTGATGAAGTTTTTTTACAAGTAGATCCGACCGCGCTTGCTGCTGCTTCTATTGCCCAGGTATAGTTATTCTAATCAGACTGGGATATCAGGGTTAAGGACATTGTGTGATGGTTTTTTGATCAGAAGCATGGTCCATCACTATGTACGTCTGTTGCTTCATGTTAGAATCTCTTGGGTGTGTATGTCTGCATACTTATGCTTTATCTTCTCAATTTTTAGACTTCACTCCTATCAATGTGGGTGTCGTGTTGAAATTCGATATGTTTTCTTGTATTTTGTTGGACTAGGTGCATGCAGGGGTTCTTCGTGATAACACTCGTGTGGTGATTAAAGTCCAACATCTTGGTATGGAGAAAGTTATGGCTGCCGACTTGCGAAATATTGGTTGGGTATGACCTGACCTAGACTTGATTTGAAAGCTGCTAAATTAATTTTTGAAAGAAATTTTCTGAGTCCAGACGCGGCACAGTTCTGAAACTGATCTTAAACGATGGGTTATAGTGGATTCAACTTACATGCATAAAAACTTCTCAATCGTTTGGACCACCCCTTGTGCGTGGTGTTTGTTAGATTCAAGGATACTGTTTCAAAACATTACTCACCTTCCTTCACTTTTTGTATTATTTTAGGTGGCCAAGTTTTTGGAAGGCCAGCTTCCGTTTGATCTTGTTCCAGTAAGTAGATTTCGAACATTTCCTCTTCTACTTCTGCCTTGATTGGTGGCTTAGAGGTTCTGAGATTTTTAACATTTCTTTTTGTCTTACATTTGGTCATCATCAGATTGTGATTAGATTCTGGGGCTTGCAAGGTCTTAAAAGTTACACCAAAAGCAGCTTACATCGGAACTATTTTCAATTGTAAGTAGGGTGGTCAATTGCACATTAACTTATTCTGTATGACTATAGATCGTAAAAGAGATTCAAGCAACTATCCCGTTGGAATTCGATTTTAAGCGGGAAGTTTGGTTTATGGTAATTTTCCTTCCAATATACGTAGTTGAGGTTGTATTTTGTTTTCATCAATCTTTCTGGAATTTTTACGTATCTTCACATTACTGGCTGTAGCTTCTCACGGACTTTCCTTTGCATTCGATCGTGATGTGTTTGTGTATGTATGGAAGAGGTTGTCTGTCTTTGTGTGATGCGATTTGGAATTTGACGTGATTGCAATTGTTACTGTGTTCGAAACAGACTAATGTAAAGCGAAGCTTAGAAGAGCATGGTTTCAATCAAGTCAAATGTCCTCAGCCCATCCTGGATCTCTGTTCTGATCGACTCATTGTTATGGAGGTACACGCAATTCTACAGTGTTTTCTGTGTGTTGTATTGGTATTCTTGTGTCGTTTAAGTTGTTCTACTTGTTTAAAGTCACTTTATTTACTTATATTGGTCGGATCACTAAGAACTGTTTCTTTTTATGGCAGAGATTGGATGGTGTGCCGTTTACTCAGATTTTGCATTCCCGGGCACCAGTGGCGTTGCAGAGAAGGTAAGCTGCGAATTTGCTTCTGGTTACACAGTGGAGATCATTTTTCAGCGTTTCAGAAGCATTCTCATGTCCTGGATTGACTCCTTCATGAGTTCGATGATATGATTTGAAGATTTGGTGCATACTAACCGGAGACAAAAATCCCTGTGTCGTAATTGACATGCTATTATGGTATTCCTACAGGATACCTGAAGTTGTTCGGGCTTTGGAGGCGCTGGTCGATGCCTATGGACAGGTATTATCTTATGTTGTCCTATTGTATTTCATGCATGGGTTCTTTTTGAAAGGATTTTATTTGGCTGATACATTCGACATTGTTGTAAATCACAGATGCTATTTATAGATGGCGTCTTCCATGCTGATCCACATGCCGGTAATCTTTTGCTACTCTCAGACGGTCGTCTTGGTCTGATTGATTTTGGGCAGGTAAGTTCAAATATCCTTTACTTGGTTGCACTTGTGGTCCAGTAAGCAGTAACAAGGATATTGGTTTCGAAGGATCAGAATACCCTATTTGTTCATTTTGGGAATAATCTTTCACATAAAATGCAACTTGTTTCAAAAATTGAGTTCACGTTTTGTCCTAGCTTTTCCTCACATAAGTAAATTTTTCAATTTGGTTCGTTGTAATGTGGTTGACAGAGCAAGGTAATCGACAAAGAGATACGGTTGAAACTTGCTCGTATGATCATGGCCTTGGCAAGCAATAAGGAAGCTGAAATTGCAAGAGCTTTGATCAACTTGGGATTGAAGTTTGAAGATGTGAATGGTGGTGTGGTATCCGAAAGTAGGTTGGCTCTAATGGCCCGGATACTTTTTGACACTTGCTATGTGCAAGAGGCGACAGTTTCTCCAATGTCAGAGGAGTCTCTCTTGCGGACGACACCACTGAAAGCTTTCAATCAGTCTGTATGGCTGGTACATTTGCATGGCCTTTCTCTTCTGCTTTGCCTTCAAGCTAGTTTTCATCCCTAAGTAGGGCGATCGTGTCTTAAGCCTTAGGGCTTGGAGTATTCTTACTTATTAGTACACCATTAGCTCTTCAATCTCAGTAGGTTTTTTAGTGAAGTATTTGATTTTTTTTGGAGACAACTAACCGTCGTGGTCTGCTGTTGGTTATCTGATGCATTCACTACCTTGTACTTCAGTTCTCTTTCAAAAAGGTCCAATTGCCATTTTATTAGACAGCAGCTTGCGGAGCGTACTTGAGAATAAGCTCTATTTTTAATAGTTGAGACTCGCTCTTAACATTCGTCTCGGACTTGACCAGATTCCTTATTTCCTATCTTTAGCTGCGTCATAGTAATTCTTGTATCTTGATTTCTTTCTTATTCTTTGATTGCAGGTTGTGCGTGCGTTAGTTATCCTTCGAGGGTTGTGCTATGCATTGAAGATGGATTTGTCAGCCACTGCTATTTGGTTTCCTTATGCTCAAGCTGCATTAGCTGCTGCAGGCGACGATTGAAACTGAAAACACTAAAGATTTTCTTTGAAAGTGTTTATCTCTTAGTTATGTTTCCCTCTACTGTTCGATACCTTAACCCTGCGATGTCGTTTGTGATTCGCCATTTAATGAAATAACTTAGGTTCTGAATCATGGTAGCCGTAATTGCTTCTTTTTTAATATGTGAAGTGCATATTTTACCTCTCATCAACGTAGTTTTTGTATGAATATGTAACATATTTCTCGTTTACAATCACTGTCTAAATTCCTTGATTACGATGTTCATTACAGTTCTCTGCTTTATTAAAATCTGAAACGAAAATTGATTCAATTAGCAGAACATTTCTTCCCAACGAGTGTGCTTCACATCTCATAAGTATCAGGTGTGCAAAGCTTTATCCTATGTCCAGGCCACAGCGTGATTACCTTGAGACTAAATCTACGACATGCCTGATCCGACATTTTATATTCAGGTTAGTCAAAATTCGATGGAATGATATTAATACCAAGCCTTGCAATTTCAATCTCATTTTGTTGAATCATCTTCTCAGTATCGGATGCTGTGATGAGATGAATGCATGATATGCTGCAGAGGGCTTCGGTCATTTGCGTTGAGGTTACGTTTGATTGTTAAGGATTGAGTTGGGAATTAAGAGGTTGTGATTTACATAATTACACCAGGTGACTTTTAGGTTTGACGTGAGAAGTGTTTGGTTAGAATTGATCTAGTTACGAAGAAACGAAGTGTTTTTTATCCTAGGTGAGGACAGCTAATGGAAAAATTGACATGAATGCTTTTTTTTAAACAATAAATTCTTGAATGAAAGGCTCTCATATGTGACAAGGCAGAAGGAAAGACATGTTGAATGTGGATATGTTCTCGTAAGGTAAGAAATCTATGGTTAGAATCCCCTCAGCAGTCACAACTTTATAATATTTTCACGAAATACATAGATGAAAATTCTTAAATTCAATTGGTGTCTTACTCCAATTCATATTTCCATTCTCATGTCAAACCTAGTTGCATAACTTAGTTTTTATCCAATTTTTACTTCATTCTGTTTCATTATTGGTGGTAAAATGATAAACCATCCATTGATTACACTATTTTTGACATTAGTGCTAACTGCTTTGGCACCAATTTGGTCTCTTATTGGGATTTCCCACATCACTCATGAACTTCAACGTAAGGATCTTGACGTGTTTCCTGTCAATTCATCTTGTAAATATTCATCTCGACTTTGTTTGCGATTCTCTTGGTTCAGACCCGTTTGTATCTGAACTGCATTACTTGTGAAGACTTCGAGTTTTGGTAGCGTTCACGTGCAGGAATTCTTCCTGGGAAGTGGTGGACAGTTAGAGTAATTTCTACAACGCTTCAGCAGAGCAAGTCGACCGACACTAGCATTTGATATAATATTGCTAACGCCGATTGGTGCCAAAGCAGAGATTAATACCAACTGCTTTGTGCACCCACTCATATACAACACAATCCTTCTTAGGGCTAAACAACGATAGTCTCTCAATCAATCACGTAGGCTATATTGAGCACGATGTAATGCAGGTTCCCTGCAATATCATTTTACTTACATTTAAGCCACTCACACTGTGAGTAGATACACTGTAAACCTTTGAGAACATGCGTCTTGACACCAAAAATGAAAGAAAGAAAGAAAATAACGATAACAATAAAAGCTAACAATAGCAAGATGTGTATGAAATAATACATTTCATAAAACAAAAAGAGTAATTTTTATTGCCATTACAATTGTTATCATTATTGGTTTCTGTTATCTATTTGAAACCTAAGACAGGAACTGAAATGGTTGAATTACCATGGAAGGATTAGGGGCGCCTTCGTTGAACTCTGATTAAGGAAAGGTTGAAGAGGGGATTAAACAAGATTAGGCGGTGGTAAAGCAGGATTAGCAGGCGCAAGGTGTGCCCTACTGCGACGGTGAGTGTGTGTGGAGAGGAAGGGAAGGCATCACTTTGTAGCTTTCCGTCTGCATGCTTCACCACACACGCCTGTAGCAGCAGCAGCCATGGACGGATCTCCATTCTGGGTCTTGTTGCTCATTCGCCCCTGCTCATAGACTCCTCTGCTTGCGCTGCGAGGAATTCGACTCCATTCTGGGCAATTCCCACTCTGTGCTGCAGCTTCCATGGCGAACTTGACAACTCCGCACGGCAAGGCTCTCTCGGGGTGCCACTCTCGCTCCCTCTCTTCTCCTCTCTTGCTTCAGCAGCAGCTTTCCTTCGCCATCCCTGCCACGCCCCGCAAGTGCCACCACGTCCCTTGCGCCCTGTTCTGGAGTCGACCCAGGAGCAAACGCCTCACCCCGAGCCCGCCCAAGGATCAGTTCATCATCTCCGCGGACCTCACCTCGCAGCAGGTGCGTTTCGTCGATACAGTGTGGGATATGAATTTTTGCAATGTCACCCAGTTGCAATTTGCACTCGGTAGTAATTGATGACCTGTGAAAATGCAGGCGAAACAAGAGACGGCTAGGGATTCTGACGTTTCGCCCTTGACACTGACCGTCTCGGTAGTGTCCTCCATTTCGCTTGTGTCGGCAGAGGCGTGGGATCTGTGCGCAGTCGAAGCTGCGGGACCAGGGTCAGAGAATCCATTTGTTTCTCATGGATTTCTGTCGAGTTTGGAGGACAGCAAAAGCGCCGTTGCAGTCAGTTCTCGATAACTCAACACTCGCAAACACGCGTGCAATTTTTGGAAGATTTTTTTTGTGGTGCCACATGTATCCCACGTCTTGCACTTGGTCGCTGATTTCTTGGAGATATGTGGGTTTGGAAGGAGGAGGGTTGGTTACCCCAGCACCTCGTTGCACGGGACGCGTCAAATGAAATTCTGGGGGTTGTGCCACTATATCTTAAAAGGTGACCCTGTTCTACCATCAACATGCGATAAAGTTGTCTTTGTAGAAGCTCATATTGCTCCAAATAGTGATTCAAAATTGTAGCATTCTTAGAGCAGTTCTAATTGTGTTGCTCTCAACAAACGAATTATAGCCGAACTTATAGCATATTCAGCGATGATTCACGGATGTAGCAACAGAGCTGAGATAGTCCAGGCGGTGCAGATTTCGCAAATGCCGAGCAAAATAAATTACATATCTGGAACTTCGGTAGGCTCTGGTGAGAAAACTTTGGAGAAAGGTGAATGGCATTTATTTTGTACATTAGACGTTATAATGCGCCGTGCTTTAGTTGCTAATGATAGCTTGTTTATCTTTGTTTTGCAGCCATTCGTATGGAGAGTATGTGTTCGACCACGCATGGGCTGATGCGTTCTATCGCTACGGCGGAGCCTATTACCCGAAACTTCAATGCTGCGTGCCATTCACTCCAGCCACAGGCCCGCGCCTTTTAGTTAGAGACGGCCCATTCCGGGATCAGGTTTTTGATGGCCTTGCGAAATGTATGCAACAATTGACTGATCAGGTGCAGGTTCTCATTTCAACTAAGGATCATTGTTGTGGTCTGTTATGAGCAGAAACAACTACATGAGCTTTCTCGCTGTATCTCCCGGATCGATCAGGAAATAAATAGTTGGTTTTAGTGAGTTTATTTGCATATGTGTCAAGACTAGCTCAATCATTCAAATGCGGTTTATGCTTACTGAATGCTCACGACCTAAAAGCACAATTGAGGGCGATCTCTGTACTTGTTTTTTATAATTGTATCACACCTTCCAGATGAAAGCTTCGTCGCTGCACATAACGTTTCCAGAGAGAGAAGAATGGGACCGGGTCGCCAAAGTAGGCTATTTAAAGAGAATGGGACTACAATATCATTGGAAGAACCGCGACTACGGCAGGTACCCCTAGAGCTATATTAAGTGTTTTGTTACATATCTGACTACGGGATGCTATGGATTTGGAAATTTATTCAGGTGCAGATGCATAATGTGCCTTGATAGTTGAGTCTCACTCGATTTGGTAACTTGAAAATATGTTTGGATGTTGGGGTGCAGCTTTGATGATTTTTTGATGGATTTGAAGCAAAGCAAGCGAAAAAACATACGCCAAGAGCGGAAGAAGGTTGTTCACTTGCTAGTCATGATACCACATGTGCTCTCTCAATTATGGCTTTTAAACATGCTACTAGACTGTAACATTGTTCAATTTTCGTGTCATATGGACAACTTTGCCGATACTTTCGGATTTAATTTTAATTTCTTTCTCTCCAACTAAGATATCTCCCTGGAAACAAAGCTCTACCTTTTGATTCACTCTTGTTGTTTATCAGATTGTTACACAAAATATTACCATGAAGCGGCTACGAGGTGATGACATCAAGGTATACCAAAGATTTAGTTATACCCTGGAATGGGCGGATCCTCTATTGACACTCAAATTATGAGTCTGGCAGGTTCTGTTTATGCATTAGTGACACGAATATTTATGACTGATTTTCATTTCCATACATTTATATCATGCTAAATTAGGGTGGGTCGTGCTCCTATGAAGTTCTTTCTGGTGAATTTTAGAATGTTCTACTTAACAGATATATATACATATACATATACACGAGCATGCAAAAAAATTCATCTATCTTACAGGCTGTTTCTCACATTGATTGAGAAGATACACTAGCAAAGCATTATGTGGTTCGGAATGCTCACTTGTGGTTTGATGGATACCCATAGCCTTATCATTGGGATGCCTTCTATACCTTCTATCGGAGTACCACTGATAACAAGTAAGACTCCTAGTCTTCGCCATCCTTAAATGCACTTAACAAGTATATTTGGATGTTTAACTAAGGTTATCAGCTCGATTGGATTACTGGCAAGTATTAGGTACTCGTCAGAGAAGCCTCAGTATATAACAAGTATCGAGCTTCAGGTAATGCTAATTAGATACTGCTCTAAATTAATTGTTCGCTAACAAAGCATTGGATTGTACGTGGTGTTGAATATAGGTGGGGTCAGGCCTACCTTACTAGGGAATTTTTTCATTTGATGGGCGAGCGCATGGGCGATCGTGTGCTCCTTGTCGTGGCCGAAGACAAGGGGAAGCTTGTTGCGGGTGCGCTCAATCTCATTGGCGGTGATACACTATACGGCCGGAATTGGGGATGTGCGGAGTACGCCCACTATAATTCGCTTCACTTCGAAGCTTGCTACTACCAGGTCTTTGCATATCTTTAACTTTGTTTTTTTATCTGTTTTGTTTTCAATTTTATCTTTAAAAGGGTTTGTCAAATGGATATCATTGCCTATTTAGTATATGACATGATGTGGAATGTGAAATTGGAGCTACAGCTTTATGGATTTTTCTTTGTATTGAACTTCATGGAGAATTGAGAATCATGTCATTATGGGGTACCTGGTAGTTACTATAGCTTTGGCTCGTATATCTATCTCTGCAGGATTATGCAATATTCATTCATTGCCATTCCACTTCCCTGATATCGATTCCCTGCTGAATTGACCACCCAGTTTTAGGTATTAGGTTTTCGTATAAATATGTGACGTGAACCGGAAAGCAGTTTCTTAAATCATTACTTTCTACAGGCAATTGAAGCTGCCATTGAGATGAAGTTAAAAACAGTGGAAGCCGGCGCTCAGGGGGAGCACAAAATCCAGAGAGGGTATCTGCCCACCGCCACTTACAGTGCTCATTACCTTCCAGACCCCGACTTTCATGATGCCATTGAAAGTTTCTTGTTGCGTGAAACTGTACAAGTAAGCATCTTATACATTTGAATCTTACATGCATGGCATGTTACCAATTTTCTTTCCATGAGTTGAATTGATGAATATTGAAAAGATATGTTTAGATGTTTTGCATAGGTTTTTATGAACTTTTATGGGGCTTATGTGCAGACGAAGATGGCTCTGAAGTACCTGGAAGAGGTGAGCCCATTCAAAGATGGTATTCACTAGAATGAATAATCTGATGGTGAAATTTGGAGCAAATATACAGAATTCATGAGCAACCCAGGGCCAAGCCAACTCTGCCAAGGGTTTCCTGCTCTCAAATCGTACTCCTGTATCATATTTTCTAAAACATTTACATGAGTTGGACTCAGTGAAACCCTTTTCCTCGGGTGCCTAGATGGAGTACAGAACTCTGACAAGGTGAAAGAGGCTCGACAAAGCAGTCCATAGCAGCTTGATAAGTTGTTAACCCGTTGCCATCTCAGAATCATGACATTTGTTAACCTCATTCTTCTATCGCAGTAAAGCTTGAATGAGAGTGATTCATGTCAGTTGTGGAGGGTGATAAGCTTGGTAGCCAGGGTTCGAATGAGTGTAGAGGCAGAAACAACGCAATCTTTGTCAGTACCTATCAACATTTTGGAAGTTTCGTGATCCTTCAAAGTTAAGGTCCCTTGCGAAAAGCTTTCTACTATCCATTATTCATGCTAGTTGTGGATGGTGATGAACTTGTGGTTGAGGTCTAAATTTGGGCCATTTGTTTAGAATGTTTGTAGAAATAGTTGCTGCACCAAAGTCTTATCGAATACTCATCTCATTTTTAAAGGAGTGTTTTGTGAATCTACAAGACTTAGGGCCGTTGCTAAAACATTATCTTTTGGTTGAAAGTTGAAGTTGTCAAGGTTCAGCTTATCAAATATTTTTTATTACTTCCATACTATCAACACATAAAGGACATAGTTTTGCATCCATATCTGTTTTGTAGATCTACAAGATCTATGGTGGTTGTTGTAATTAGGTGGTCTAACTTTCAATCAAATGGTTTATTTTGAAATTTTCGGTTTCAAATTTTTAAGAGAATTAATGTGTTTTAGAATCTTTATGATGATTTTTATTATTGTATGTACAATCTACAAAGAAATCGCATTAGTATGGAATAATCTAAGGGTGTACAATCTTAAATAGATTACTACATATTATGTGTATTTGTGATTAATCTAGGACTATCTTTAAATGCTTTAAAGTTGTATTGCAGTTCATATTGCTTTCATCTACATGTATCTTGATTCTTGCTTCTTGTAATAGTCATGACAAGTAATCCAACCATAACAATTAAGTAAGTAGTTTTATTACATTTAATCTTGTTAAAAATTAAAGATTTTGATAGTTTCCTAACTTTGTTTCTTTTTTCTATTCTATCCTAAGGACCATAAGGCTTACAATCATATTGTCCAAGTTGTAAATTCCTTCTAGTGCAACTTCCTAAAAATAAAAAAACTTTTAAGCCAATTATCAATAATCACATGGCATTTCTTAAAAAATCTAAAGATCTAATTTGTATCTGTAACAATTTCTAAATAATTCTAGAAAATAATATCTATTTAACATGTTTTTAACTATTTAAAAATGAGATGAGTATTTGAAAGACTTAAAAAGAATATTTAAATATCTGAAAATAATATCTATTTAACATTTTTAAATACTTCCATTTACTTTTATTAAACTAAATAATACAAACATCTATTATAGTTGAATGTTAGAAGTGTGCAATATGTTGAAATACTTTAGAAATTAATGGCTAATACTTTTTCTTTTTGCCATCAACACATATTTCAGACAAAGTTGTCAAAGCTCCAATAACCAAAAATAATATAAATCCTGAGCTTCTACACCATCAATCACATAATATTTTCGACATTGTTACAAAAGTGTTAAGATTTAAGCAACATCCATTAACTGATGACATATTTAAGCAAAGCATTCTCAAAAATGGTCCCAAAATGGTCCCACACAAATGCTTGTTATTAATTTCAGAGTGGTACTTTCACGTTTACATTATTATTATTATTATTATTTCAAAAAGAAAATAAATTAAACTAAGACAGTTTCGTTTACACCTACTGTTTTACAAATTTAATTTTAAAAAAAAACAAACAAACAAACAAAACTCCTATATGATGTAAAATAGAGATGCATTGAGTGGTCCACAATCCACATACAACCAACAGTATTCCAGTTGTACACTACGGTATGTAAGTTAAAAATGAAAAACGCATCTACAGCTTTAAATTCAACACCATAATGTATTTCAAGCTTAAATTCGAGATAGAAATACTGATGATATGTAAGAAAAATACTTTTTTAGTGAACTTCTACGAACTTATACAATAATATATAGATATATATATATAGATTTCCATATATTTGTATATTGGCGTGTGCATTCATGTAGACAAAAATATTGTAAAGTTACTCTGTAAGCTATCAAAAATTGTCAGAATTCTTTACAGATAAGTAATCATTGTAGATAAGAAATGCTTTGAATATGATTGATCCATTAAAAAGTAAGTACTTCCACTAAATATACTAAATTTGGCCTCAATTTTTGAGTCTACAATTGATACAATTTACATCAGATTGCAAGTTGAAAAACCATCCATTACTGCATATGTAACAAATTGGTTCATTTTATCCACACACATCAATGGTGTCGATGATATCAATGAATGAATTCTTAAATTTTTGTCTAAAAATAGATCAATACAATTCAAGGACAAAATAGAACAAATAATAGGTATTGACACCCAACAAAATAACGCATCACATTAAGCCTTATAGGATACCTCTATTGATGTTGCCATGGGTGACACTTCTGCAACAGAGAAATGCAGAGGTCAAACGAAATACGCAGAAAACATCGTCAAATACAAAAACAGCTTCATACTAGGGTGTCTTTTGTATACTAATTTTCTGCAATAGGGGAATCTCTGTTTGTGTCAAAAAGAAAAAGAAAAAGAAAACAGCTGCATAAACCTTGTACTCTTCAGCATTCTTGAAATCTGAACTTTGAACAAGATTTATAGGCTCTCAACCTCGATCGTAGTTAAGTTGACAGCAACCTGCTAAATGCATCACTTGAACACATACCGGAATGTAAACTTTAGACCAAAACAATTACTCTTGGATTCAGGCATCAGGCTACTTTTAACTTTGCACTCAAATGCCCACTATAAGCATCATGAAAAGTTTAGCATCACTTGCCATTACAATTTCTTTTTCATTTATCAATGAAAATGGAAGAATTGGAGCAAGGTTAAACTGATTTAGGTCAGGGTGAAGTACATCCGTCACTGACTTAGATAGGTGGTAGTTCGAGGCATCAGGCTACTTTTAACTTGCAATCAGCTGTGCTAGCATGTAGCATCATGAAGAGTTTTTCATCTTTTGCCAACGCACCCAACAGGAAAAAAGAATTAAGAAAAGGAAAACCCCAAGTACATAACTGGCCAACATTACTAAATAGGAGTCTTAAAAGCTGCAACAAAATCAAAACAACTAGTAAGCTGGTAACTCTCAGTCACCCGTGGTGACGTTAATAGCAATATGCTAAATGCAACATCCCTTAAACACAGAATCAGAAATCCCGGCATCTGGATTTGAGGTTTTTGACTAAAACAAATACTCTTGGATTGAGGCATCAGGCTATATTTAACTTTGCACTCAACTGCCCATTACAGGCATCGTGAAAAGTTTGTCATCAATTGCCATAACAGTTTCCTTCAGATCAGGGTGAACTATATCCGTCACTGACTTAGATAGATGGTAGTTCGAGGCATCAGGCTACTTTTAACTTACAATCAGTTGTGCTAGCATGTAGCATCATGAAAAGTTTCTCATCTTTTGCCACGTCATCTAACGGAAAAAACATAAAGCATGTGGTAATAACACGACAAAAGCCTCTATCATACGGAATCGTGCACAATCGTCAAAATCAAAAACCTTCGTACACCTGTAAAAGTTGTTAAATCAAGTAAAAGTATTCATATAGAATAAATAAATGAACTCAAAGTATCATGGTTTAGGCACGTATCGCAACCCATTACCCAGAATTGTCAGTAAACAATGGAATAACAGCTGCAAATTCACCTCCACATTCCATAAATGAAACAAATAATCCCCGAGTTTGATTCACCATGTCCAACACCAAAGGACATTCTAGTTAATTATGTGAATAACGACCTAAGAACATGAAAACCAAGTACTCAAAGAAGCTTAGTTCCGTTCAGGCAACAATTGAAGTTGCAAAGGAGCCAAAGGTGAGGAATCGACATGCCTGGTAGTTAGAGTTTTGAAGCTGGAATGTACGTGGGTCCATTGGCATTCTCGTCTGACGTTCTCAGATCATCACCTCACGCACGATAACACTCAGGTTCTTCCTTGGGTCTCAGGATCCCTTCCTTAAGTTTCGAATCAATTTCACAACCAACCATATATTTCAGAACTTATCTAAAGTGAGTAATTGGACACAAGGTGCATATACTACATTGTAAGATTGGATAATATTTTGTGAGCAACATATTTAACTTTCTGCGGTCACGTCTACATTTCTTCGATGGCCGTACAAGACCAAGAACCAGGATAAGTTCTTCTGGTACCTTCTAAGAGTTACATTTTGATAGAGTATATCTTCGTTTAGGTTCCGGAGCGCTTGTTAAGTGATTGCCTTTATCCTCGCACTCAAACCAATCAACATAGGGCTGCAGCGCAATGATGATCTAGGTCAGTGGGAGGCTACTGCGCTAAGTCGGCCAAATCAACCAGACACATGCCTAAAAGAGACTTAATGAGCAGTTAGTTATTATCCCTAATTCAGACAACCCCACACAACATAAGATCTACATTCTAATTTCGTATGGATTGACACTCAGCGTGACAAATCCAAAAAATGTCGGTTTTCAGTCGTTGATCATTTCCTCGACCACCCCTTCTTCGTCGTCAATGGAATCATCTCCATCATCGCCACTAGCGTATTCAGACATGCTGAAGCTAAAACCTTCAAATTAACCTGCAGTTCTTCATGTAACCAAACCACACACCTATCTAATTAGCTGCGTCCGCTAGACCGAAAAACGCTTAAGCAACATAAAAAGCATGCTCACTAACACCTCTGAACCATCATCCTCCTTGTAGTCACCTCTTTCTTCCCCGCCTGTAGAAATCCCTCTGGTACAGAAATTCATCGCCAGCTGATCTCACTCCAAAAACTGGCATTTCATCTTCCATCACCGCATTCTCTTACCTGATCAGTGAAGGAGCAGCCTGTGATCTCAGTGTGCAATTCGGCTCAGAACTGGCCATCTCACTGCGGCACAACCCTCGAAATGGGAGCAAACCCCCAGCTTCAATTCTATCAGATTCGAGGAGCCAGTGGAACTTCAGTGAATAAGAAGTGCAGCCTCACAAGCTTCCTTCGCCCTAAAATCCCAAACCCTGATGGATGGATGAACAGTTCTAAGCTCTCGCCAGCTGAGAAGGACGACTGTCCTGTACTAAAACTAACAGTGGGTGCCGTTTAGGGTTATCGATTCTGGATGGAATCATCTTCGTTCCCTCCCTCAACGCCCTCAATCTGCATTTCCTTCTTGTAGTGGCATTTTAGGAGAATCCAAGGAGCGAGTCTCGACATACCCACACCTTCAAATGACGCTCCGCCATCGTGGTATTGCAGAGAGCTTCACGCAGACAAGCTCTCATGAACGATGCGTACCCAAGAATGGAAACTAAGTACCTACGCTCTCTGCTCTGTGAAGACGGGGGGGGGGGGGGGGGGGGTGGAGAAAAAAAAAGAGGCTATATTGAAGAGAAGAATGTCTTGAATTGATGTTGTTGACAATTTGCAAGGAATTTGGATCATGACGTGGTTCACAAGTGGGACAGGAATTCGAGTTTTGAGATTGGATCCACTTGATAGAAAGGAACGGCTGGGACTGGGAAAAGAGTTGCTCACAGAAATCGAGGATCTTGGAATTGTAGAAAAACAGGTACTACTCCATTTGCTGATCTCACTTTCTTTACTGTTTCGTCATTAGGTCGGATTAACGAGACCATCTCAAAAACAGGATAGCTGCCTCTCAGCATCAGTAGATTTGCTTACATTCTTATCTACTTTTGATCTATTAATATCCATTCCTTCAATCTGAGGGTCCATTCACCTGCTTTTGGTATATTAATCTTAGAATTTCGTGTGAATACATATATATATATATATATATATATATATATATGTATATTTCTCCTTTATTTCGTTATTTGTTTATATCTTCAGCACTAGAGGGTGATGATGTTCATGTTGATCTAGCAGCAGATTCGACATGCAAGAACAATCTTACCTCAAAAAGCACGAGTTAGTTATCGCTGCACTTCGTCTAGTACAATTGAATACTGAGGTCAAACATGTGACACCTCTTCGGTACAACACTTTCAGATAGTACACGCGAGACATGGTGAGAGTTCATTGTTCCATTGTATGATTCTTTAGTGAGACCTAGGTTTTATAAACACGTTGAAGAACTTTAGGAGATTTTTGAGGTGCCTCCATGTGTTCCGACTGTCGGCTCATACGGGACTCTCAGAATCTTGTAACATCGTTCTCCTAACAAATTCTGTTATTTCTTCTCGATGACGACAATCTGCCTTCTATTTGTGTCGTCATGCATGATGTTGATGAGCCAGTGCCGTTAGCAACAGACTGACAATCCTCGCAAGCTCTACGTATGTCTGGTTGGTGACCTACGTTGAAAGCATAACGTTTCCAACATACGAGTATTCTTCACTACAGCTCCTGGGATGGAACTTGTAAAAGAAAAGCAGTGTCTCTCTGTTTCTCCAATGCTTCGCGAAATTCATCGTGCAGGTTACAGATTGTGATAATGTGTGAATTGAGAAATGATTTCCAGATTATGTTACCCTCGCACAAGATGTGAAGAAAAGCAACAAGCAAATTTGATTTCGCCATTCTGCTATTTACCGTAGAATATTCCCAATTGCGGTTAGACTTTAGGAGATTGTCCACCACAGTTGTAAAACCATGGATGATGTGGTGTGCTAATCTGTCTTCACAAAGCTTCCTTGGAATGGCTTTCAGAGAACGGTTAAGTGACTTGCGACCCCATCCAGTTGCTAATTGAAGACCATAACCGACACCCAAGAGCCCTTCAGTGTATGTAATGTTCACTCTAAGATCTAGTTTCTACCACTAGTCCCACTCTCGGCGAAATAGTTCAGCACGCAGATCGCAGCCACTTGAACGCATTGAGTAGGGTCAACATCTTGTCCAACGGAATACAATCCGAGAAATCATTCAATCATGTACCCAAACATTCTAAACACAATCCATTATGAGAATCAATCTAAGCATTTGTTTGCAGAAAAACCTTGTACACTGAACTAATTTTTTAAGATATTTTTTAGATATTTTTTAGATATTTTTTTAACCTATTTAAAATGTATAATTTTATTGTTTACTTAAGATATTGCGTTTGTCTCCTGCAACTTGTGTTCTACACAAAATATTCATGAATTTGCTTACGTACACCTTTTTGGTTTTATGTTCTACGAGAAGAAAAGGGGCATCAACCACAAGTCTTGAGTTAAAACCAAAACCCACGTACATCCACACATAAGAATGCAATACTTTTTACGGAAAATAAATAAATAAATAAAAATACGTTACCTCTCCGAAATGCAACTCAATTGGCACAGCAAGCCTTGTTGACCTGTTCTGCACTGCGCTCGCTGTCTGTGTGATGAGTGAATGAGAAGATGGAGAAAATATCAGATCAGAGGTCCAGTCACCTTCGGAAATATCTTGCCGGGTCCACGAGCACTGCATGGAAGCGGGAAATTATTTGCCACTAGCGAGGGCGGTGCAGAGTCTCACGAGGATAAAGGATGCTGGGGTTAGAACCTCTGCAGATGGATCACTCTCGACGACGCATGCAAAAGATCAGCGAGAGCCGTTTTCTTCCATCTGCTCTGACGGCGATAGGTTCCGGAGCTCTCGATGCTCTTATGAGATCCAGTCCCAAGCTGATACGCGCTGTTTTTGCTCCGTCCCAACTCGCATTTCAGCCTTCCGCAGGTAACCTTTGCAGTTGATGGACACACACGCCGCATCAAGTTGCAAGGGGTCATGGAAAGGGGGGGGGGGAGATCAAAATTTCAGCGGTGGGTTCACATTTTAGCGTTGATCCCACGTAGAGCGGACATGCAAGGAAAACGATTTAAGGCAGCTAAGGTTTGAAGCAACGGACCAGGTGACACTGCCGCTCGGCACTGATCTGAAATCCGATTATTGGGAGATCGGTCACGGGCAGTGAAACGCGACCCTATCGTGGTTTATCCTGAACGTGAACTTTGACGCTGGATTCGAGGACGCCGCATTAGCATTTGTCAGTTTGTCTGACTTACACCACTATGTTGACCTAAATAGTGATCTTAACTTCTTAACCCTGGTGGCAAGAGCAACTGCAGATGCTGAGGGGATGTGAAGTGAAAGTTAAAGGGTTTGAGGAGTGTGCTGTTGATACGCGCCTTCCATCGTTTCCAATCATGGTCCAGTTTTCAACCTCAGTGTGACAAGTTTTGAGGTCTGAGGTCGACGAAATGGGCAATGAGTTTTTGAAGGCTTTCAAGATTCGACTGCAGGAGGATTTCGAGGTTTCGACGCATTTCGACCTAAAAGAAGCACAACCGTGACGAGCTTCTGAGCTGAAAGGTATGCCTTTCATATCAGCATGAGTTTTCTTTATTCACATAACATGCTCTAAGTCCAGTGGGGTTTGCAGACAAGTTGAAATCATTGAAAAGGACGACTGTCGAGAAACATCTTCCCGGGGAGATTATGATTTTTAAAAGGGTCCCGAAACCTTTCACTTAAAATCAGACACATCATACTTTATCAATTCAATCTGATCAACTTCTAAAATGATATTTAATTGCCTCACATCAGATCAGGAGCTAGTCACTCTTCGTTGTGCACAATTTGTGTGCTGTGTTCGTAAGGTCAGTGCCTGCAGGATGAGGGACTTCTGGTTTCCTGTATAAGTGACAACTATCAGCCCTCTCAGACCCATGATTACATTTTAGCTCCAAATAGGAGTTTCAAACACGATGCAACGGGTTCATTAATTTCAGTTCCGTGTTTGTGTTTATCACCTCCTGATATCCAAAGATCGGAATGCCTCCTGTAGTTACCTTAGCTATCTGTTGACTTTCCGACCTAAATCCGTCACGACCATGATTAATATGTAACCTGGGAGTTACAAACCAAAAAAATTGCTGTAGTTTTTGAACCCGTCAATCCAATGAAAAGTTTTTCCTGTACAGTCCTGGGTCATAAAGGAGCTAGAGATTGTCTAGGAATATCAAAACGATTTGTGATAAACAATTCCTGCTACACTTTATTACATCTTTCTTCATTCGCATACCATCCATCTTCCTCAACAATATTCTGCTAGGGACCTTTCACTTCCATTTACATCCAACCTCCTTTGTTACAGGTGTTGGAAGTGATATAGCGAAATGACGGACTGAAATGAAGTTCGTAGTTTAGTTCGCTTCTTTTCCTGCATGGGCCAATGGTGGAGGAGACCTGTAGGCAGTATTTCATACCATGCTCCTCATGTGACCCATAACTTTGTCCTGCAGGTCTCTTCTAAAATTGAATGAACCAGTTTAAGGTGTCAGTTCCTTAGAGAACGAAGGTTGCGACGTCAACTTATCAATTAACGTGGTACATGTTAGTTGTACATAGTGAAGCTCCACTTGATATTTCAGGTCCGATCAGCTATGTTTTCCAAACGTCATGACTATTGGGAGACGCCAAACTCGGAGACAAGCTGGATAGTTCTGGAGTTGCAAAGCAGCAGATACTTCGAAGTGCCTGTTACTTCGCAACAAGACGACGAGCTAGACATCTGACCACAATTCTGGCAAAATCATCGTGCGAAATAGGGCAAAGATTGGTACGAAGCTCTTAGTGTGTCTTGTTGATGCGCTCGTCATCCAGCTAACAAAAAGGTATTAATCAGTGAGGAGAAGCTCATGCTTGTAAATTCAAAACATATCATGGGCTTATAATATGACAAATTTGGATCAAAAAGGCAGTTAACTGAAGATCTTGTTGTATTTAGTTACTAGTTTTTTTTACACCTTTCATCATGAATATGAAATTATTTGGCTTTTCACTGTTATATTTATTTTCAAGGTTCGAAGAGAAATTAGAAGAACAAACCAAGAACCTTACTTTTCCTTATATAGACTGCGGTCTTGTACTTTATTTTGATTACTGCGTTGAATTTTATCTGGTATAGCAAACTTTTAGTCAGGAATTAGTGAGTTGGGCATTCAATTTGTCTGTTTTTACAACTACTAGTTCTCTCGGTTTAGTGTTGAGAATAAGTCACAAAATTACAAAACATAAAGTTGCTGATCATATTCATGGGTGCTTGGAATAGCTGGATCTCCTTTGCGTGTGATCCGGAGGGTGTGTAATTTGCAACTGCTGGATTCCAGGCACTGCTACTCATGTGTTGAGATGCAGATGGACGAGCCATTATTTGATGCTCCCAAGAAGGAAGGATATGCGTCGGCCGAAAGAAGCAGGAACCCGATTTACCTTCACATCTGTTCCAGCTCTTAGATCTACAATGTCACATGAACACATACTTGGTAACGAATCTGGCAGTAAGACTTCATTTATATGGGTCCATTCCGCTCCAAGCTTTCACATCTGTGACAGATTTAGCAATATAGTGAAAATCTGACCGTTGGTGATGCAACTGAAGCAAGTTTTCACGTGACATTGTAGATCTACGTGCCGGATTAGTGGTGAAAGCCTCAAGTTCAAGGATAGCATGGTCCCTGCAAGTTTCTCACGTTGAGCATGTGTAGTATTACTTTACCCTGCAAGTTTTGAGCTGTTATTCTAAAGCACAATAGACCCTTCATGAAGATGCTCTTGATATTTTCAATTGCATGATTCGGGAAGAGGTGTGATCAGGAACCGATTAGGTGTTGCGCTTGTATGAAGAACATTTGATTGTGCTACGAATCACTTGATTGGTTAACCATTTGTGGACGTTGCTGTTTCAACATTTTAGAAAACAGGATGTTCAAACTGATGCAAACTAAAGTCTTGCTCTTAGCCTTTGAACGTACAAAGAGTTGCATACAGATTATCTGCTCCATGGTATACCCTGCTTTGTCGACTGAGGTGTCATGAATTTTCATGCAGTTGTAACATGACTTTTTATTTCTACGACTGGTTTAAGCAGTGCCAACGGGAACTATCCCACCTCCCTTAAAATTCTGGCTGGACTGGAGATACATATTTCCTGTCGCATCGTTTTACAGTTTTCAGTTTTTTTGTAAAACTTTTGATCTATGGAGCTGTTTTGTTGCTTCCTTCTTATTTTCTTCATACACAATCATTTGTCTCTTACCCTTTGAAAAGAATTTTAAGGTCCCAAGAATTTGATTTGATTTCACAAGGGCTTGATTGATATAACTACAAGCAATCCGTTTTTTGTATATCAATCAAGCCCTTGTGAAATCAAATCAAATTCTAAACGGATTGATGGGGACTTTTGATGGACGTAGGTAAATTACATAAGAAACAGCCACTTTGAGAGGGTGACGAAATTTACTTAACCTGTTTAGTATCAGCACAGGGGCTATAACAAAAATCTTTCCATAATATGACAGTTCTACTCGGTATACTTTAGTTGTTTCTAAGAGCAACATATTGTAAAAGATATTGCTTCCATGAATCTTAAATAACACATTCGATATTCCAATCGTATCCACCCAACTCCCATTGTGAATTTCAAAAAGGCCACTCAAAACCAAATTATATGGTTTTTCTTGTTGACTCGACAGGTGTCAAAAACGTATAACACAGCTGAGCTGTACGTTGCAGTCAAGATGCTCCCAGGCTCTTCACAACTGCGATCAATGAGATGGGACTAACAAATCGCCCAAATCTTCCATCGAAAGTTTTAGAAGGGCAATATTAAATTGAAGGCACGAGACAGTTCTCAGCACCAAAATTTCCTCAAGTTGATGTAAAGAGATATAAAATGATAACACCTCATGTCTAATCTGGCCTCGGTAAAAAGTTTGCACAAAGTATCGACAGCAACAAAATTGTTGTTGCAACTTGTTAAGCTCCTCTCACTATCATCATGCTCAAAGCTTCAACTGCATTGTGTCTACTCCGTTTTCTGTTGCTTAGATTTAAATTGAGCTTCACCGTCATTACGACGCTTGTTATTCCTGTTGTCCCTGTCGCCACCCCTTCCTCTTCCTCCTCGACCTCCCCATCCACCGCCACCTCTGAAAACAAACGAAACGAGGGGACATGTTAAATCACCCACGAATTGGAGATTCTTCAATAATTTCGTTCACAGGATCAAAGCATAGCAAAGGTAACGGATAATCACACTACTAACAGAGCGTGTCCTATATCCCAGGTTTCTTCGGAAACTTGTGAGAAGTACAAGATTTATCTTATTGAAATATTGACCTTTAAATTTTACCATAATTACAGGAGATACAAAAACAAAAGACAAAAACAAAAAAACTAAACTAAACAAAAGAACTTTGTGGCTCGGGAAAGTCAAAAGGCACCTCGCGTTCGTAATTTACAATAAGAGTATAATCATTTTTAAACAAAAAATATGAGGCAGGAATATACCTTCCACCACCGCGGCCACCGTAGCCTCTACCTCCACCAAAGCCTCTGCCACCACCAAAGTCCCGCTTGTTACCTTGACCTTCCCTAAGTTTCTTCCAGTATTCTGCCTCTTCGTCTCCTGTACATAGCGATGAAATTGTGAGCAAATAGAAAACTGTGAATAAGAATAAATAGACGTGGGGAGAGCGGGGAGGGGAGAGGAGGAGGAGCGAGAGAGAGAGAGAGAGAGAGAGAGAGAGAGACGCGTTAGGAAACCAATGTTCCGATTAGAGCAACGAATCGTACCTTCGAGTGCCTCGAAGGTTACCAAATGTTTAGCAATTGTCAACCCGCCTTCAGGTGTGACAGCAGCAGCAGCTCTAAGCTTTTGTGCGTCCTCAGGTACATCGAAGCGTAGGAACCCTGTAGAGTCTCCTTTAGCATAATCCACGTACTGCACTCAAAAAAAACTACATCAGCAACAGTAAAAAACTTGCACAAATTACAGAGATCCATATAAACAGAGAAATTACGGAGTGAGAGCAATAGTAAATATAACAAGGGTTGCAATCAGCAGGGCTGCAAGGATGAGGTGAACCAACCCGAATTACTCCGAACTTGGCCAAAGCACCTTTAATATCTTCTCGGGAAAGTTTTTCTTCATCTCCACTTTCTATTTCGCTAGGCTTTTCACCCTCAACTACCTTTTCATCATCTGCTTTCTTTTCAGATTCATCCAAAGCACCAATCTTTTTAGCAGTAAAAGAAACAATTAACCCCTTTTGGTAGTCTTCCTCTGAATCTGTATGCCTGTCTTGGAACTTCTTCTCATTCCTTCTGTTGGTCTTTGACTCCCCTGATTGCCTGCCACCATTTGCACCTTGATCGAAAATTGTCTCTTTTCGTTCATCAAAAGTGGTCCTGTAATCCAACTATCGATTAATGTTTCACATTATAGAAATAGCAAAAATCCAGGAAGCAATTTGTAGTGAAGTGAAATCAATTGAAAAGAGGATTAGGCTTACTTAGGCTCCAGTTCCAAGGTGGCTCCTTGGCATACCAGCTCCATTTTCAAAATCTTCTTTGCTTCCTCTTCCGAAGAGAATTCAACGACTGCGAAACCTGACAGAACATTCTTGCTGGAAGCATGTTTTGGAAGCCGCACGCTCTTGACCTGCAAAGATGCAAGCATGAACAGATGAGGTGAATCAAAAAAACTGTAACCAAGAGACATAGTAAATATTAGCTGTGGGTTTGTAGAGGTGGACTTTTTATAGGCACGTAACAATACGACTTTATGCCTCACAAAGTCTTAGCAGAGTTGATAATCACATTGATTTGGGAAATGACAGCAAAATATCACAGAAACTATTCAGGAGAAATTCTGATTTCTGAACATGAATTCACAGATCTTCGAAACAATTGGATCAAAGCTAACTTGGCTGTATAGTTGTTTAGCAGATATAGCTCTAGGTAATACGAAAGTCAAATTCTGTTTGTTCAACATGTTGTACACATGGGTTACTACATTTCGAATACCTGTCCGTACTGCTTGAAAAAGGTCTCCACTTCCTCCATTGTAATGGTGTAGGGAAAGGGGTTAGCCGCAATGCTACGGGCATCTACTTCCGCTTGTACGACCTCCGGTTTCTGAAGCTTCGTCACACGCCCTACTCTTTTCCCTGTCCACATGCACTTCTCGTCAACAACAGTCTTCAAACCAAAGTGGTCAATATCATATGTGTAACGCTTTGATGCATCAGACAAAGATGTGAGCAGTAATTCAAGATTTTCACTATTCAATAAACTCATGTGCACGAACCATCTTCAGAGACACGGAGAAAGGTCGACTTGTTACGCAGAACTTCAGCTACGCCAGCTAGTTTATCAGCTGGAAATTTGGTCGGGTCTGACTCGTTCACTCCCAAATGTTTTCTCATCTTTTGGAATGTGCACAGAAGAGATAGTTCAACCACTAGTTCCATGTTAAGGCTGTAGGTGTAATCAAATGATCAAAAGCGAGAACCACAAAATACAAAGAGTGTAAAGTGAACAAGTGACACCGAAACTGGACACGTCCAAACAACCATGCACCCAGAAAACCTACAGAAAAACGCAAAATTCCAGCAACATCAAGCATCTTGTGGCTACCCTCCTCGACAAAATCCACAAACAAGCAATTACAAAACACCAAAAAGGATACTATCATCGTCACTCTCTTCAATGTTCTTCAGCAAAAAGGCGTCCCCAGGAAGATTACTGTCACTGAAGTAAAATTCCATCTGTTACATCACGACCAAGCATCACATTAGTAACGCAGTACCCAGAAGAAGAAAAAGAGGATGGGGTGGGGGGGTCACAACTGCCATAAACCCAAAACCATACAATAACGCTCAGAACCTCACAAACATACAGCCACCCAATTCCCTAGCCCGCCACTCCTCCGGAACCCCACTCACCTGACGCAAAACCTTGGCCGTCGTCTCCTCGTCCAACACGCCGGCGGTCGCCATCGCGAACCGCTTGCTAAAGCCCCGAACCCTTGCCTGACCCGCTCCTCACAACCTCACTCGAACTTCAAATCCACTCCCCGGACCACGCCACGGGACCAAATTCACTTTCCGACTGCAACCCCACTCCGCAGCACTACCACCACCACTACCACCAATCGACAAGGCCAACAGAGTGGCAACAGCAGGGCAGCAGCAGGAGAGGAGGTATGCGGGCGTGACGGTGACGGCGAGATACCTAAACAAACAAAGTGCCCAAAATATCAAGCGCAAGAAGGTTCTTGGATGACGAGGGGGCGAGATTGTCTCGCCGTGTTGGCCCACGACCACAGAGACAGAGGGAGAGAGAACCCGCACGAAATTAACAAACAACAAACAGCAAGGAAGGGATGGAAGGAAGGGCAACGATGCGACGACGCTAGCAAGCTTAGCTGGGAGGAGTGGGGTAGAGGTGGGGGCTCTCGTTGGATGGGGGTTTGGTTCCCCAATGACCCGTCCCGCTACAGGTCAAACGGCGCAAATATGCTCCCCCTGCCCCCTGCCCTTTCAGCCCTTCCTGCCCTTCCTGCCCCCCTGCCCTTTCTGCCCTTTCAGCCCTCTCAGCCCTTCCTGCCCCCCTGCCCTTTCAGCCCTTCCAGCCCTTCCTGCCCCCATGCCCTTTCAGCCCTTCCTGCCCCCCTGCCCTTTCAGCCCTTCCAGCCCTTCCTGCCCCCCTGCCCTTTCAGCCCTTCCAGCCCTTCCTGCCCCCCCTGCCCTTTCTGGCCCTATCGCGGGTGACCCCCTCCCTCCGTCGCTCCCTCGCTGCCCCCGCTTTCTCGTTTGAACCTAGTCGTTGCATGCTCGGGCTGCCCGCTCCTTTCCTCTTACTTCTGGCTTAGAATGTGTCTTTTGCTTTTTCATCATTCTTCGCATCTACGTACGCAAAAGTCAAACGGGGGATGTTTGTAGAGCATGGATGATGCTATGTTTGGAAAAATTTAAACAATAATTATAACCCTAAAAAATAAAAATAAATTTTTTTTTTGCGAATTATTGATTTGTTTAATTTGTTCCATATGTGTTGGTTTTTTATAGTTATTTTTGTTATTTTGTATACTTTTTCAAAAAGAATATTTATATAGTTTTTTGGTACATTATTTGCATTGTAATTTAGTATAGCAATCATCAACAATGGCAATCAATGGTAGTTAATATAAATTGTGTTGCTATATGAAGCAGCGACAATCTACAATAAAGATATTAGCATTGGTGGTACTAAAGATGCTTATTTAAACTAAAAACTATTTTCTTACACATATTCATACATATTAAATTTTAATAAATGAAATATCAATATTAATATTAATAATGCGACATGCATGTAAAGCTATATAAATATAAAAAGATCCAATAAATGTAGCTAAAATAGATACTTCAAAATACTTTTCTATTTTTTTAACATAAAAAATTAAATACATATATATAAAAATAATATTTCTATAGTAGAAATTTACATATAAAAAATTATATATATATAGATATATATTTAATAAAATACTAACATTGATAATTATATATATATATATATATATATATATATATCAATTATTAGTTTAGACTTATGTAAAAAGAATCATAATTATATTTACAATAAATCTTTAAAAACTAATATAATTAATATAATTTTTAGTTGTAATTAGATATTTGTAAATAAATTTGACATTTATCATTTAATGAATATGTTACACTAATGAAAAAATAAAAAAAATCATTCTTACATTTGAAGGCTAATTAATAATAATCTAATATATAACAAAATGTTATTACATTATTAAAAGAACTTAAATAGTAAACTATGTATTTTTAGTTTGATATCTACTATCAAATGATAATTTAATTAAAGTTAAATTTTGAGTAAGTTCATATATAATAATAATAATAATAATTTATAGATTTCAATCTATTTATTCATATTAAATAACTTATTATATCTATATTATATTCCTATCTAATACATCAATCATTTTATAGTATTTTTATTATTGTATTTAAGTTTAAAAGAGAAGTTTAAAAAACAATATTTGTTATACTCCTAATCATTTATTTCTTCTTTTTAATTATTTTAAAAAAAAGTGTTATTATATTTCTTATCATTTGAATAAGTTCATTGAATAATTTTATAGTTTATTTTTTTAACATATATAAATATTCTATAGCTTTACCAATTAATTAAAAGTATTTTAATTTTTTGTATTAAGTATCCAAATTTTATAGTTAGTTTTTTATTAGCTTAATAATAGGTTGTCAGGCTATTGATTCTTACTAAGTAGATTACTAAGAAATATTTAGTTATTACAACTGAACACTCTAAATGACAAGAAAAAAATCATGCAAGAAATACACTCCAATTGGGAAGATGTTGCCAATTGAGAAAGATTAGAAAATTGTTGAATAAAACATATCTTCTACTTAATCAAAAAGACTTTGTGTATTTACTTAAGTTTATATGATTGTATCATAAAGGCACTTTGTGACTAATAGATTTATGTCATTAAGAAAGATAATAAGTGTAGAAAACATAATTATTAAGTTAAAAGCATGATATCATTTCATTAGCATTGTATTGAAGTTAAGTTGTCAATAAGAATTAATACATCTTATCAAATCCGTCAAAGAGTGAGCTTGTTCTATTTTAAAACAAAAAAACATATGAACCTCTGCCATTGTCATAAATAATATTCCTTAAAAATTTAATGTCAAAGATAGAAACAATGATCTTTGTGACAGTGGATTTATTGTATTATCATATAGCTTCATTTGAAGTTTTTATTATTATACTTCTAAAATGTGTTGTTTTGATGTTGCTTAGATAAATATGTGGAACTTTTTGTATTATTACAAGCTATGAATGAGTTGAGCATGCAGATGTATAAAATTCTATATTATTTCATTCTCTAAACTACTTTTACAGTAGTTATTTCTATCATTAGTTTCATGTCTTCATTTTGTTTATATTAGTCAAAATATTGACCAAAAGTCCATCAATATATTCATCAAGCCCCAAGCCATTTGCCTTCATTCCTTTGAATGTCTCCAATATAATCTTGATTTGATTAGAATAACCAATATGGTGGATGAAGGCATTATAAACAAATCAATCTAACTCACATCTTGTCCACTTCTTGAATATAAAATTTTGCACTCTTTAAGCTTTAATTGGTAATCCAAATAATTTGCCAACCTCAAATAGTACCTTAGATGCCTATTAGTACTCTAACAAATTATAGACTCGACATTCCATCTCAATCTGTCACCATGTCAAGTCTTTAATTTCAATTTCCTATGCAACACAATTATTTGTAAAGAAACCACATGCTCAATTTTCCTCTCACTTTTTCACCTCTCTCTCTTTGAATTATACTAGGTTATGGAATGTTGATACTACAAATACCATAGCTTACTATTGCCCCATACTTCATGATTGTACCGCATTAAACAAAGAAAAAGCAAGCAAATTCTTGTTGAATATGACAAATGATGAGGTAGTAGGTAAAGACAAAAATAATATGTAATAAATATACTCCCACTTTTCTACATCTTGTTTAACTATGACTACTGGAATAGATATTTATAAATAAGCCTAAATATTCTTCTTACAATAATATTATAATATATATACTTTCCACTTGGCTTGAATTTCATAGATTTTTATGTTTATTTTTGTAGATTCTCATGCTTCTTCTTTTACATATTAATACTATCATTGTTGGCTAACTTGAAAAGAATTAAGAATTAACAAAGTTAGAGGTTCTATGAATTATTGCATAGAAACTATTGCTTTATTATTTATAAAAATAATAAGAGATGCAGCCAATTAAAGAAGGTTTTTATCTCTTCTTGTTTATCTCATTGGTTTATCTCTTCTCTTAGCTATTTTATATAAGAGATTAAGTTAGATCCAATCATTGTATTTCTACAACTCAAAATTAGATTATACATAAAAGTTTAGTTTATATAATTGAACTAGATTGACTATTAAGTGATTTGTATTCCTATTGAATAATAATTAAATGGTTTATTTTTTTCAAAAATATATTTATTTATTTATATTAATGGAATTAGATAGAAGTAAATACAAGTAAATAAATTTGATAATATCTTTTGGATTAACTTCTTAGAAGCTTCAAAGACATGGATTTGACTTTATATATGTTTATAGGTGATTAATAGGTTAAAAATTTGGCCAACACATTGCCTAGGTGTTGCACATGTTAGTAACTTGTAGTATAAGTTAACCATTTGGTGAACATATAAAAAACTTATCTTGCAAGTTTGACACATATCTTACAAGTTGGATATGTGTCGGAGGTTCTATAGAATGTTTTCATAATGCTTGTAGTTAGTTGGTATATATAGAGGCAAAAGTGAGATCTTTTTTTACTCTTATCAATATCTTTTTTATTCTTAGTCTTGATTCAAGAGTCTCTAGTTTTCATGTCTTTCGCAATAGCCATTCTAATTTTAATATTGTAACAACTTTGAATTTTTAGCTACTCTTTTCTAGTGACACAAGAGTGTATCGATCCTTTGGTTCTTTGTGATTCATGTTCTTAATAATTGTTGGCAATCAAAAGAATAATATTCATTAAAAAATAATAATTATGTATTAAAGACAATCATTAATATTATTCCAATTGACTTTGAAAATTATTTGAAGAGATTACATGGACTTAAGAAGAAGATATTGGAATTAATTGCAATATCTACATGATTCAAATTCGTTGCTAGATTGTAGTATCAATTGGTTAGAGTGTGACAAAGACCAATTACTAAAACATATATATATATATATATATATATATTAAAAAGATAAAATTCTTGAGCTACAATTAATACCAATTGATATAATCAAAAAATTCTAATTTAAAAACACAAATTTTTAACTTAAAACTAATGGTTTAAGTTACATTTTTTCTTAATTTCCTAATTGGCACTCTACCTACTTATGTTTGAATCTTACAAATAATTGGCTAAATTAATTAGTGAAAAAAACTAATTCAACAACATCAATTATATATCTAAATTTTAATAGTCATATCAATATTTTAGGTATACAAACAAGACATAAATTTATTTTTTTATTTTTTTCCTTTATGTTCATAATCTCTTTTAATAATAATAACATAATCATCAAAAAATATAATTATAAGAAATATTTAAGAAGAAATGATATTACTATATATGTGGCATATGGAGACAAGGTATTCAATTACTAAAAGGATAATATCCACTTAGGAATTCCCTATAATTTTTGTTGAAAAATATTACAAATGTACTTTACTTTTAATAAATACAAACTTAAAATTTGAAATATCAAACTTTTAATTTTTAATTCTTTGATTTAGTTATTTTTTATTATTATTTTTTTAATTCAAGCAACTGCAAAAAAATTTAAAGCTTTCAAAATTACTAAAATAAAATCTAGCAAGATAAATGTTTTTAATTTTAATTTTACTTAGCACTCAAATCTGCAAGTGTTTGAAGCGCAACTAGAGTAATTCTCAAATATTAATTATAGATATATAGATCATAAACAAAAAATTAATAATTTTGAGTGGTGAAAATTATAAAGCCACATCTCTCTTAGTTATAGAGACTTGTTTAACCTCAATATCTCATCGAATTTCTAAAAATCAGCATTCATACATTTAACCTGTGTATTTGAAAGCAGTGTTGTTATTAAAGTATCAGATGTGTGGCTTACATATATCATGCACCAAAATAAGAAACACAACACATTAAGTGTTTAAAAATTAAAATAAAAACACATGTAGTGCTGAAAATGGTATTCATGTTTTGATGATTGAGCATTGCTTTCAAAATGTAAGTATTGTTTTCAACACTATATTTGTTTTTATTTTATTTGAGTTCTTGGTAAACTTATGAATGTGATTTTAACAAACAATACATTGGTGTAATTTTAACAAATAGATGTACCTTTTGGTCCATTAATATTTTTGTGCATTGTACTCAGATCTGAAAAATGCCACATAATACACACTTTTGCATTTTTCCTAAGATACATAATATTCTATTAATGATTTCTACACTATTTAACCTTCATGTAATTGAATTATATGAAAAATATTAGAAAAATTAAAAATCAGGTTCTAATAATTTTTGTGATTTTATTAATAAAATTTAAAAATTTGAACACTGATCATGTATTTTAATATGTGAATATTAAAATTGGATTTATAAATTTCATAGTTTTCTTGAGGTATAATGCATATATAGATAAGATAGAATTGGTGTCTGTCTATAATGGCAAAGCTAATTTTACAATCAAATCTATTATAATTATAATCTATATGTTATACATAATATATAATGTATTTTACATATATTATACATAATACATAATATAACATAACATACGATTTTATTAGATTATGACGAAGCTAATCAACCCCGATTATATAGGGGGTTTGTAGGGGACTAATTAGGGTAATCCTTGACCCTAATTAACTGGTCATCAAGACAAAATATGGGTGGGGTTGTGTGGTGCCTGAGGTGCTCCAGGGAATGATCCGGGGGGACATACTGGCCTGCATACAAATAAGAATCTTCATGTGTCAAGTGTAGATGAAAGGAGCGGTAAAAGATTCCTTGTGTGTTGAAGTTTTGTTACTGGTTTTTGATAAAATAAGTCGAGAATACGTATTTATAGCAACAAAGCAATGCTCCCTTGAAACTTGGTTCTCCACTGATTACTTCTGCCCATTCTGAATGGAATCGCGACGTGAAAACGTAAGACAGGCAAAGCTGCTTCCTTACCCGCCATTGGAACCCACATATACCCAGTGCTCTGGTCCAGGGTATCAACCACAATGCCCTTGGAGGTTTTAGGGTTTGTAGCTTATGTTGCTTCGCAATGCATAGTTTTTTTGCGCCTCTGCCGCGAATATCTTTCTCTCTGTGCTCTAGCTCCTCGCTTCACATTAATCAATCGTAGCGTCACGAGTTAGAGGTGGCTGCAGGAAAATACGATGCCAGGAGCTCAAGCCCCGCAGCAGATCTTCACTATCGAGCAGTTGGTTGCTCTGAACCCCTACAATCCCGACATCCTTCCGGATTTGGAGAGCTACGTTGAAGAGCAGGTGAGTGCGCCACTTCCTTAGAAGCGAAAGCTTACATTCCTGATGTTCGATTTCGTATCAGTTTTGTGTTTGGTTCTGTGAGAATGGACTCGCGCAATTAAGCTGCAGAGATGACCTATACGGTTAAGGATTCATGCTGTGCTGGTTTTTTGGATCCTGTCCATGGTCTTGTTTCGTGTTGGATCAGGTCCTCAAAAGCGGTTGCACAACATCTTCGGGGAATTATCTGGAGCCTTTCTCTCACTTCATTTTGCGCTTCTTGAGTCTATTATGTAAGAGTCAATGATTCTTAATTGGTTAACCTAATAGTTGCTGAATTTTTGTTCTCTGTCGGTACTGTAGGTTGCGACTCAGACGTACAGCTTGGATTGCAACTTATGTCTTCTCCGCCTTTACCAGGTCTTGCCCCATTTTCTTTGGACCCGTTTCCATATTGCATCACAATCTTGTTTATTTTTCCCTTCTCAATTGGAGATCTGTTGTGACGTTGGAGTCTTTCTCCCATTACAATCCATCATTTAATTGTGTCTTCTTCCGAGGCTTCATGACGTCGAAGTTGAACCTAGTTTCAATATTTTCCGGATATATTATGCACATTTTACACGCGAGTTTTCTTGTGGCGGAAATATCAAGGCACTCTTAGTAGTTGATGTACTTGGAGTTGATTTCGAGGATACTACAGCAAGTAGTGAATCCTGACTATTGACGGTTTGCTTCTGTTGGTTGCAGTTCTACCCAGCTCGCATGAATGTTCACCTTATCATTAAAGTGCTTGTGAAGGTAACTTTCAAAAGTGGATCAACATAATTTTTTTGAGTTTATAAGTTTATAAGTTGGAACTACGCTTTACCTGCCTGATGTCTAGGTCGTTGTGAAGCGCTAGTAACATGTGAGTCTTTTGCGGATGTGCTTGAGGTTATCTCGATTAATCTCTTTAAGATTTAGCGAGCTGGTTGCTAAGTCATTTCTTGTTCATACTGTATTTTATTTGTGTGACGAATTGTTGCTGTTGTTAATTCTCACTAACGTGGTGAATTTTGTTCTGCAGGCATTGATGGCACTACCTGCCACAGACTTTAATTTGTGCATGTTCCTGATCCCAGAAAGACTTGTATCCTACTTAACCATGTCTCTACGCATGTTGAATTGGTTTCGATAAGTACAAATACTTTTGCTAGTGTTTATGTCAATGGTTTGAGACAACAAAACTTTCTGGCCACTTCAATACCTTATTTCTCTACTCTTGGTTCTGTTTTTAAATGCTTTTAGTAATCGCCGGGAAAAGAAAAGTCTTCCTGATGTATCGGCGCAATTATTATTTTGATCTCTATCTTGTTGCTTCTTGACTGCTAACTCCTCAGCAAATGGAGGAGACCTTTTTGAATCTTGCTACTTTGGCTCACTTTCTAGAGGTTCGGTTTCAAACATGATTTTTTTGAGCATGTGTTTGCATTCGGTGGCAGGGGGCATACCGTTTATTTGTTCATTTTGATTGAACTTTCTGTAGTGGTCTATTCTGAGCATTAATCCACAAACTTCACTTTTTTTCACATTCATTCTCAAAGACTGGAATTTAATGTAAGTGCTCCAATCAGCTCTACGGTAGCAGTGAGAATTCCGCTGGTAGGTTTAATCGTAAGCGATTGAGGGACTCGTTTCTAGACATTCTTCAAGGTTATCATTGTTAAATATTGATTTAGTAAAGTCGATGGTGCAGACATCTCGTTTTCGAGAATTCTGGGACGAGGCCAACAGAAACAGGGATATTCTTGAAGTTGTCCCCGGTAAGTTTGTGTGTAATGCATTACCTCCCTCTGTGGTTGTTGAATCGTAGCGCCTACTTTATTCTTTGGATACTGTGTAGGTTGCTTGGACGGTGATTTACTGTATACATGATTCAACATACTCCGCCTTGATGGGGTTTAACCCTGTTCTGGGGATTGCAGGATTTGAGCAAGCCCTTCAGGGATACGCTATCCATGTGCTCTCAATCACTTATCAGCGTTTGCCTCGATCAATTTTGGCTGAGGTGGGTTCTTATAGTGCTTGCACCATGACTTGTCGTATCTTGGTAATGTCGCATTTATGAGCACAGGTAAGAATAGCTTGAATTGCGTTGTAAGAGTGCTAATTATTTGTCCACAAATTTGCAGGCTATCAATATGGAAGGACTTTCCTTGGATAAATTTTTGGAGCATCAAGTAAACAATAATGGCTGGGCACTTGAGAAAGGTGGCAAGGTAAGTATATTGATATAATCGGTTATGATGCAGTTGCACACCATAATCAGGGAAGGTTTGTGCATGTTTTGAGAGGAGAAAAAAAACATCCAATCCCACAACAGATTTTCCACCTGGAAATATCAATAATCGTTTTTTACTTAGTTGTTGTATCTAAGTTTACTCTTGCTTTTGCTTGCAGGTGGTCGTTTTGCCCTTGAACGAGGACAACCAGCCAGTACTGAGACGGAACACTGCTGATAGCATACCATTGGAACATGTTGCAAGGATCCTCCCTGTGTTAGTTTGAAAGGGTTCATGAGGAGTGCAACATTGAGGGAAACAACATGAAGAAATCTGTTTTATCCGGAAGGTCGGCGTAGGTTCTTTCAGAAGAGGTGCTTCACACTCTGTAGTCGAATGCAAAGATTACTGTAATAGAATTTGGGACAGCAGAGGTTAGTGGGTGTGTGCTTGTTTGTGGTCTGTTGGCAATCGTCCTAAACAGGCATTTTGTAATTGGATATTAGTAAACTGCTGGTAATTTATTCATTTCGTATGAAGCGAGAGCTGCAATCGATTACTTTTTTCTCCAGTCCATGTCGTATTTTTAAAAAAGTACGTTACGTTATGTATTCCAGGGCCCCTTTTTTTTATGTAAGGATTTGTTTTGTAAGTTCTCTTTTACTTCTCATTATTTAAATGAAAAGCGACAAAGGAATGCAATCGTGGTCATTTCACAATGCCTTCAATTCTCTTTCAGCGTGACCTCAACAGGCGGTTCTAATTCATTTGGAGGATTGTTGAGAGGGTGTCCAGTGAGGAAGAACCTAGAATGGAGAGAATAGCTTTGACACTATGTAAATAAATTAAAATGACCTCAATCTTCACGATTGTAATATTTGTGACGGTGCGGCAGAGTCTGGTATACAACGCTCTGGATAATTCTCACCCTCATTCGTAGTATCTAGAAGTCTAGTTCGGTATCCGTGAATCTACGGATAAGTCTCAGGATTTGTTTGTCTGCGTCACATCAACAGCAGAGGAGTTATTCGCATGGTTAAAAATCATCAAAATGTAAGTCTTCATTCCTCAGCAGTATCTTGTCAATCGAAACAACCGATAACGCACAAGAGCCGCACTCGAAGCGAATGAAAGTGAAGCTGAAAGTTCGGAAGGAGGGCGTTTATGGGGCAACCCCTAATCAAGCTCTCGTTTAGTTAGCTTTCGGTAGACGATCTCACGGGGGAGGAGAAAAATTGCGCGTGTGGTGGCGAATCTCAATCAATAGGCTGCCCTTGTTGCGGGATATGGGCGTATGCTCTGCCCACGAAGAGTTCGCAGGATAATGAGCTGATGTTGCATGACACAGAGGCTAACCAGTGCAATCACATGGTGGTGGACATATGTTGGACGTGGAAGGAAAGATTTGATGTGCTTGTTTAAGGAGATTGCTACCAGTTTTAGGGAGATTAGTTGTCTGGTTCCTCGCATGCAGGTTTCAACGAACTTCGTGCTGCTGTTTGATCCTCAGACCTTGAGAACTACTCATGTGGATGTTGTGCAATACTGTGAATGTCGGAGACGAAGCCTTAAGACCCAGTTCTTCCAGAACCAGCCCTTGTGAACTACTAGAGTTCTGAGAGTTGTGCATGAAAACTTGGATGCCCATGACGTGAAAACTGAAGGAATTGGAGATCGATCCCTGTGCTCCAAAGCAAGACCAACACAAAGCGGCTGGTGAACAATTATAATTCTTTTGAAAGTTATGTCCACTGTGAAATTTCTTTTTTGTTTTTGTCGTACAAACAGGAGGTTAAAAAGAAGTTAATCGTAGCTTCTATTGGAAACCATTAGGGAACTGCAGGTGGGTCGATCAAAGCCACATTTTATGTGGTATGTGGAGAAGCTCTTGAACCGGTTAGGTGAATTTATTAACTATTATCATCATACTTCACAAAACAATACAATTGTTTAGTTGGGTTTTCATGGAGGAGATTTTCATGAAACGGTTTGGTAGTTCAAGTGAGATTTTCATCAACAATAAGATGTAGGAATCAGGTTTTTTCAACTTAAGGATTTTCTATTAAAATAGGTTTTAAGTGCTACATAACTAGAAGTATTGTAGGAAACAAAAAGCTTTATTTCACTAACTTCTTGTTTGAAACCCTTCAAAGTGCCATATAATATTATCTTTTGTTGAAGAACAAGCATAGTACTTTTTAGTTTTTTTCAAGATATTTGTAAAATTATTTAATTTATTTTATGTCTCTTCTTGACTATGGACATTAAAAATTTCTTTTTGTTTCTTTTTTAAAAGGGTTTTATAGATTAAGACTTGTAGATGAATTTTATCCAATGGATTATAATTTGTGGAGTTCAATCTACACAATTCCTCGTTGCTTGCTTGCTATCTTAGGGCAATATGGAGGCAATAAATAGAGGTTCCATCTCTACTTAAATAGATACATTTCTATTGTAGGGCATTAATATGTGCCATAGAGGCTTAGACTTTGAGTTAGAAGATATAATTAAAAGTATAATGTTTTGGATTTTTTTCTAAACATCTATATTTATTCCCATCTATTGATTTTTAAATATATTTTTTAGACATTGAAATCTTTTATTTGACTATGTATTATTCCATAGATCATATTCATTAAGATTCTTATCTTTGGCTATCTACCCTCTTATAGGCATCACTCATTAGCATTGAGTTGCCAACTTATGCATGTTAGAAATTTATATATTTGTCAAAATCTTTAGATTACATTTTTAGATTGATATCAGATTTAATTTTTTTATTTTTCTTAGTTTCTCAATCTTAGAAACATTTTTACATAGCTAACAACAATCACCTCACAAGTTTTTTCTAAGACCACATAAAAAAACAAGTTTGACTAATAAATTTCTGAGCCAAATAAGTTTTGCTACAATTAAACCAATCAACATTTAATAACCCCAAAAAGACATACTCATTCAATTTTTTTTGTGAAGCATCATTATCCACAAGGAAAATAAAATAAGTAGGATCTAATCTACATTTTTAATTAAATTGATTGATTATTGTATATGATACTATAATAAATAATTTAATTTGCAAAAGTCATGTCACTTTTGGTTTAAGTATTATAAATAATAAAATATTTGTGGATAAAATATATCTTTGTGATGTGATTTATTAAGAGGCTAAATAAATATACATGTATTTGAATGTTAAATTTGTAATTGTAAAACTTCACTATATAAAAAATATAGAGAATGATATATACTTATTTTTTTTGCAGTATTAAACTATACTTAATAAAAATTCATAAAAATAAATTATAAAAAATATGTATTTTGTATTATTTTTAAAAAATCTAATTAAATATTTAAAAAAAACTTTATTTTTTATGATTATTTAAGTATATGCAGATTAATTCTATACTTTATTTATGTTTATCAAAATTTATATTTATTTTTTCTAATACGTATTATATATAATCATAATTTTTCTAAATTCAATTATACTACTATATATGTATTAAATTTATTCTTTAAAATTCTTAAACTTCAAAAATCTCAATAAAAATTTAATATGTAAAAAATTTTAAATTTTAAATTACTTCAATTTATCTTTATTAGAATTTTTAATTATTATTTTATACTTTTTTTATTATATATATATATATATATATATATATAGATGTGTACTTTTAAAAAACTAGATTTAGAATAAAAACTAAAACAAATCTACTACGTATCTTAATATATAATAATTATTGGTTTATAAATAGAAATATTTGATCATTTATAGAAAATATGACTAATTTAGAAAAAATAATTTGTATAAATATTAATTAGATTATATGTTAATTTTTTATTTAGAATCAAAATTAGTAAATATTAATTTATACAAATATACAAAAGAAAATGTGTAATTGAAGTTGATTATTATATAATATATCAAGAGTTATTTATAAATTTGTAAGTTATTTTTGTTAGATTTTGCAAATATAAATGAAGAGATTGAAGATATAAAAGAATTAAACAGAGTTTTGAAATTTAAATGCAATATTCCATTTCTCCAAGAATTAGTAATGTAGTAAAATAATATAAGAAATATTGGATCTTAGAAGTTACATTGGATTACTAATAGATTTAGAATGTTATAGAATTTTGGAATTATTTTTTATTTAGGTGTAAAATATAAAATAGTTTATTAAAGTATTAGGAATTTTAAAAAATTTAATTTAGGATATGTCTAAGAAGAAGAGAAATTCGATAAAGATATATGTTTGCTTATAAGTTTTATCTTTAGTTAGTTATAGGATAACTTATAAGAAGAATAGAGTGATCTAAGATAATGGGCTGTATGGTAGTGACATTATTAAAAGTGATTTAATTTTCAATAAGTTAGTATTATTGTAGAGTCTTAGATATGAATAAAAATTTATCAATAGTCTTAAGAAAACTAACTAATCTATGTAATATTTAACCTTCTAAATATAATTAAGAAAAAAAAACATTAATTTTATAAATAAATTATATATATTCATTGATATATTGAGATTATTGAACAAATCCTAGAAGTGTGATTAGCATCATTGTAGTATCGTCTTTAAAAGATAGTTATTTTTTCATGTTAAAAAGTATACATTTTTAAAATTTATAAGTATTTTTTTTGTAATTTTATCAATGTTTTAAGCTTCTATTATCACATATAGATTGTTTCATATGCAATAATAGATTTGTAAACTAAAAACATCAATATCTTAATACTATTGGAGTGATTTAGATAGAATTGCAATAATAACTTATTCACATTTATAATTTTTATCTTTAATAATATCTTGATTTAAAATAAAATAAAATCGTTAGGTATACTATCATAGATTTTAAAAAAAAAACAAAACAATACAAAACAAAATTATGTATCTATATGGCTAAAGAGTATTATATCTTATATTATTATCTTGTGAATTTAAATTATGTTTTGATAAAGCATAATTAATGATGCTCCTTAAAGTATAAAATCCTAAAAGAAAATGATTTACAAATTAAATCGTAATTTTTTGTAATCATATGAATCATTTGTCACATCCTTTTTGTACTTAATTATAAGCAATTTGAATTACAATCTACTTTTTTTTAATTAATAAGAGTAATTTTTCTGTATGAAAACACAAATATGATTGATTGTTATTAGTGTTGAGAATGTTTAGAAAGACACAAGAGTAATAGCAAGTCATACACACATACAAGAGTAGTAGTAAGTCATACACACACAAGAGTAGTAGTAAGTCATACACACACAAGAGTAGTAGTAAGTCATACACACACAAGAGTAGTAGTAAGTCATACACACACAAGAGTAGTAGTAAGTCATACACACAAGAGGGTTTCTAAGGAGAAAGAGCTTCACACACACAAATCTATTGATCTAGTTGTGTCTCGTATACAAGAAGAAAAAAGAGGAGAGGATAAACAATATTTCTCCACTAGACTCTAAATACTATAGCTATAGTAATTATTGTAGTCTACAGTAAATATTATGGAGAGCGCCAGCTACATTTAATGATCTCAATACTCCTCCTTGCTCATCATAATATT